TATCTCCTTGGTTAACGCAGAAGTTTGTTCGCCAAGTTTGAGCAGACATAGCTGCCAGTCCAAAGGTTGGACGTTACATGCCGCCTGACCCCCAAAGAGGGCTGGCTGCATGAAGTGAGGAGAATACAAGCCGTAGACCATAGGGGGTACATATGGTGCACTCCCAATCATCTGAGGGCCATAATGGACGGCATTACCGCCTGTGTGGCTCTCATGCAAGGATTGATTATTCCCTGTTGATGTATTCTTGAAGCTCGAGGTAGAGGCTAACATAGACAGCTGCGGACTTCTCCTACGGATGATGATTTCCCGAGCATCAGGTGTTGGTTTTTTGTTACCCACCAATTGTTCTTCCAGGCGGGGGTTTCTTGAACTCTTCTGGGGTAGAAGAATCTTGGACTAGTCAAGGGTCCCAGTTGCCTTATCCTTTGGATGCGGAGTTGGTTGCGTGTCCCTAACTGGATTCCTCCTCTCTGGAGGTGTCTTCCTTGCCGACTGATCCTTGAATGGGCCAGCCCTGCTTTAGGTGATCAGATCCTTGATTTCATCCTTGAAACTAGTCATGAATTTCATGAGTTCGTCCCGGGTGAATGGGGCGCATCCGTATTCCGTTTGGGTTCCTGCTTGTACCCGCCTGGCTTGCACCCCGCTCCAAAGTGTCTCTAGGACGGATGCGCTTAGTGATCAGAGAGCCATCTTTGACTATGTAAGTTTCGACATGAGGATCATCATCCTCATGGTAAGTAAAGACCTCTGGCTGATTGACCATGGTCAGGAGGTGGTACAAACTCTTGAACCATCCTTGAGGTACTCTCCCCAAAGACGGCGCCAAATGTTTTGGGTGTTTTTGTCCCTCGGGAGAGTTATAGCTCGAGGACTGATCCAACTGCGCATGTACCTGAAAAATAACGGAGACTCCGGGTGTTTGGAGCTCCGCCTCCAACGGTCAAGTTAGTACTTGAATATAAGTGGGAGAAAGTGTGGAAAATAAAGTGAGATCTTCTCGGATTCCGAGATCAGGTGTTTCTCTGATGTGAGAGAATGTAGGGTAGGTGTAATAAATGATTGAATGTAATGTGTCCCCAATTTTAGGGAATATCTCCCTATTTATGGGGTCATTGGAGGACGTGCCCCTTTCTAGGTCATTTGACCTAGATTTAGTGGGTTGCGCCGTTTTACGACGTTCTTGGGAATTGGGCCTTGAAGGCCGCAATTCAGGAAGAATTTGAGGTTGACACGTGTCATCTTGCAATTGGCCCAAATGAACCTACCTAGGCTTGACACACGGTCCTCTCTGATTGGTCCACGTGGACAAGGTAATTTTACCCAAAACAAGAGTGAAGGGAAAGACCCTCCTACGTAAATTCACTCGGGCAGGAGAGAAGATGTATGAATTTTCCAACTCGGAAAGAGAAGGATCCCCATCCAAAGTGTTGCAAATCGGACGCAAATATATATATATATATATATATATATATATATATATATATATATATATATATATATATATATATATATATATATATATATATATATTAAAAAAAAAAAACAAATACGCAAAGGAATAAAGAAAATTGACGTACCCCCTTTTGTTGCTTTGTACTACTGCCTCAGGATCCGATAACGCTCCATGTTGAACTCGTTCATGTCAACCTTCCCCTTCTGTGTCGGGTCAAGCTGAGACATGGTTTGTTCTGTTAATAGAAAAATTGAGAGTTAGAAACTTCTTAACTCAAATTAAAATCAAGAACGCACGTTACAAAAGTCGGCCTGGAGTGTAATTTCGGAGTAGGCCGAACAAGGACATGAACAAGGGATCCCTTAGCCAAATTACTAAGGGAATCCACTTGGGAATAATGGCCACTCAGCGACCCCCTCTAAACTCCCTCTTGACCGAGAAATAGTCAAGTTGACGGGAATGGTCCGGATGGATTGGAGGATGGGTCGGCCGGTGATCCCCTCGTCCAAATTGAACAGGAGAGGCGTTCAAGTTGTTCATTTTTCTGTTAAACGCTCGATCCCGGTCCGGATGAGGTAGAATCTCTTCTTCCAGTCACGCCATTTAGACAGCTTATGCAAGACTGTCATGTATTCTGGTCGGGTGTTCAGAACGAACAACTCGTCCGCTTCAGCCTTCAGTTTCTCCATGTTATACATGGTGCAGATTCCCGTAAAGTTGGGGGTGAAGCCCATCCTCAAGCCACTCACCAAGTAGCCAAAAATGTTGACCCAACTATTCGGCGCCAGTTGAACCATATCAATCTGATATTCGTCCAACATCTCCTGGACCAATGGATGAAGGGTAAAGCGGAGGCCGAACTAAAAGATCGCCCTATATATATATTGAAGCCCCGGCGGACTACCTTAGGGTCGTCAGAAGCGGCGACCAAGCCTAAGGTTCGAGGTGGACTTATTTTAAAGCCCTCCCCTAGCATGAGGAACTCTTTCCATTCCTTGAATCATTCTTTGAGGAAACCTAAGGCGGATTCCCCTATCATGCAGCTATAAGGGCTTCTAAAATCCTTTTCCTCGGCTCGGCGTCAGGATTTTCACCATCCTGCTCGATCAGTTAAGGTTCGGGGCCTTGCCGAACCAAAGTCACGGGACAGAACTCTGTCCAAATCATCTGCCTCATCAGAGCTACCTCCGATTGAGCCCTTCCATGGCTCGGCCAGTACAATTCCTTCGGACACCAAGGGGGCATTGCCCTTGTCTTTCTTTTCATCCCCCGAACTGTGATTTCCAGATGGAGCGTTACGGGGGCAGTCGGTCGGCTCAGCAATTACAATACTAGTCCTAGGTCTAGCTGACCTGGTATGTTGAGAAAAGGGAGGAGGAAGACTTCATTCGCCTGAGGCTGTGGCAGATTTTGGACAAATTGATCAGAAGCTTGTGGCTGATTTTGGTTAGATTGACCTACAACCGTTTGAGATGAAAAGCGGGGCAAAGAAGTTGGCAATTCGTCCGGTCCAAGGATCGAGTTAGCGAATAAAGCACGGGATACATTCGAGCTCCGTCCAGAAGTAAAAGTTCAAGTTGATTTTAGCGCTTCTCATATGAGGTAGTCACTTCGACCACCGAGCATTCATTACCACCAACAGTAGTGGATGTATTTGTGTTTGTGTTTGAGGTTGTGGTCTCCACGTCCGTATTATTCGGATCATAGGAGGCCAAGGTTGGACTAGGCTGCCATCTGGATTTCTTGTAGCAAGAAGGTCGTGCGTTTGCCTCGTACGCGCAATGTTCGGCTACAGAGACATAGAAGAATAGGTGGGGGTGAGTTGGTATGCACTAGAAATAGACCCACTCCATAAAGACGAGGACTTGTCCTCGTACACTCTAGATTCCTCAGTCCCAAGAGAACAGACGGCCTCAGGAGAAACGGACAAGGCCGAGTGTTGAGCCGGGATGTTTGTAAAAATTAAACAAAAAGAAAAAGAAAATCAAGAAAGGGAAGGAGAGTATTCGATTACCTTCGTCCGAGTAGAAAGCTGGAGGACTTTGAAGTTCTTAGATGAAAGTTGACCGGAAAACTCAATTGCTTGATCGGAAAACTCGAATGCATGACTAAGCTCTTAAAGATTCAAAGCAAAGTAACTTTCTCTCTCCAGAAGCCCTGGCCTCTCTCTAAAAAGTTAAAAATGCAAAGGAAATGAGGTCAAACCCTCACTATTTATAGGCAAAATTCATGGGGGTAAAACGGTAAAACCCACTGTTCCCGCCTATAGAATGCCAAGGTTAAAATTCAAAAAATTTTGACCTAGAAGTCAAACGGTTAAAAAAAACCACCTCGTCAATTAAGATGGAATGAGAACGGGTGTCAAGTCATTTAAGACGGAATTTGAACGGAACTCACAAATTCAACACCTGCCTCGGAAGTTGAACCAATTTCTCAAAATAATGGAGAACAGTTGGTTGCTTATTAAAAGGCCATTCTACCCATCCTGTCCGCTTGAAAATTAGGCAAAAATCCTTCGGGATATCAGACGAGTCAAACAAGGCATCTAGCTAAATTAGATGGATGAACATCCTTGTCCGATCTCCGCAAAATACCCTAAAACGCTCAGAAACGCCTGCGGACTCATATGAGTAAGATCAGAGGAGGCGGCCCGTAAAAGACGAGTCACCCCCTTTGAGGGGAAAATGTTTAGGGTGAAAAATACCCCAGCTACGTGGTCCAATCCCATAAGGACACGTGGCCCAATCAAAAGGTAACACGTGTCCTAATAGAAGGACGACACGTATTAAGCGTTAGGGCACCTGAAAAAGAGAGTAAGGAGGACGACACGTATTAAGCGTTAGGGCACCTGAAAAAGAGAGTAAAGGCCTCCTGACATTTGGAGGCTCGAATTCCTTGAAAGCCGCAAAAGTGGCGCCTTAGAGGGACGCGTGCCCTTACACTGGTTGCACAGCCAATCAGAGCACAAATTCTTAGGTCACTAACCCTAAAGAGGTACAAATCCCTATCCCTATAAATACCCCAATCATTTATGATGGGAAGAGGATTTTGGGGACATAACCTTAAAAAGAGCATTAAAAGCTCCAGCTTCTCTCTACTTTCTCTAGTTTATTCCAATTTCAGATCTCTAACTTGATCATCGGAGGCGGATCTCTGATAAACCGGAGTTCTGTTGTTTTGCAGGTGTCCAAGTCTACTTGTCGGCAGAGCGTGACCTGTATTTCGAGGTAATCCAAAAACCCTCCGAAACAAGTTGGGGGTTAATTGATTTGGGGTTACTTGTGGCTGGCCACGTCAAAAGTCGATGCCCCATTATAAATGAAAATGACCTATTTTTGTTCATAAAGTTGCTCTGGAAAGAAGAAATTAAAAGTGTGAAATGATATTATCCAAAAACTTACTAAAAAATATTTCGTATTAAATATTGATATTTTTTTTCTTTCTTTTTTTTGGAAAGAACATTAAATATTGGTTAGTTGAAACATACTAATGGATTTATTTTGTGAAAAATCATATAATTAACAACATAATTACAGCAGTAGAAATAGGTAAATAGCCCTATAAAATACTTTATTTCTTCAATATTTGTTTGGAAGGAAAAGGATACAACAATTTTTAGGAACTAATTAGTGCAAGGAATTGGTGTTATTTAGCTTGTAAAGCAGCTTAAGCAAAGCAATGACTTACACTATGGCCATTATGTATAGAAAATCAATGGCCATTATATATAGAAAATCGAAAAATCTTAACAGCTTGAGTAGACAGCTGCAGATTTAAAGCAAATGACTTAATATAGAAAGGGTGGTTAAAGCTTGAAGCTTGATACTCTATGGTTTCCAAAGAATGGTGGTTTCTGCAATCATGGAAGAAACGACGTAAGGGTCCATGTTAGAAGCCGGCCTCCTGTCCTCGAAATATCCTTTTCCCTCCTTTTCAGTGTCTCGTCCAACACGAACTGATGCACCTCGGTTGGCTACTCCCTGCAGGTAATTTAAGAATTCAATTTTGCTGAGAAGTCTACTCTCATTTAATGTGACGAATTGACGATAACATTAACAGGGCTGGCAATTGATCAAATACAAAAACAGGATGAAAAGAAAAGGTAAATACTAACAATACTGCAGAAACTATAATTACAACTAATACAAGGAATAATATAATGCAGTATAAATAAGGATAACACTCTGGGATTGACACACCTAGTGAAAAAGAATTAACACTTACCCACAGGAAGGTTGAAATGCTTGCTGTTTCGTGTTTACCAGTGAGACGGCGTTCATTTCCTTCACCATAAGCAGCAATGTGTTCCTTGTGCCTTAATGCAAGCTTTTCAATAGCTTGTTTAATGATTTCATAGCCACCTTCTTCCCTCATGGACTTAGTGCTACAATCATCAAAATTGCCCTTTAGCGATACTTATTTAACATTGTGAACACATTACTCCGTATATACAAATAGTACATGAAATGATTAATGAAACAATCAAGCACCTGTAGTTTGTGTGAGCACCAGCACCGTTCCAATCACCTGGAATTGGCTTTGGATCAAAAGAAAGAGCCACTCCAGCAATCTCAGTAATCCTCTGTCAACATACAACCAATGGACATTTCATATTGACATTCGAAATTATGTTCTATACTAAAGGAAATGCAAATTCACTTAGATGAATACATGTGTTGTTAAAATACCTCCAAAATGTAACGAGCTACCCACAACTCATCTCCAGCAGAGATTCCAACTGATGGACCAACTTGGAATTCCCACTGCAGAAAGATAAAGATAGAGAGTTTTAAACACAGGAACAACCACAAGAGTCAAGTTTCACAGGTCGTGCAGTTATCGAAAGCATTATTCACTTTACCTGTCCTGGCATCACTTCTCCATTGATTCCACTGATGTTAATTCCTGCATAAAGGCAAGCCTTGTAGTGTGAATCAACAATGTCCCTTCCAAAAGCTTTATCAGCACCAATACTACAGTAGTAGGGGCCCTGTATACAATACACCCAAGTAGTCATATTATTACCAGCCCTTCATTAGCTAATTATAGTTTTAGTGACGTCGAAACCAGAAGACACAACAAGAAGAAAATTGCATTGCAATTCTAGACAAGAAATGAATTTCATCCATAGATTGCCTAGACCTGTTTTTCTTCTTCTTTCAAAAAATAAAAAAAGCTATTCTTGTCTATACTTCATTTTGGCTGTGTCCTGCTCATATTACTTTGCAGAAAGCACAACCAAATAATTAAGCAAGTCAAATCACCTGTGGACCAGGAAAACCTCCGACAGGCCAGCCAATGGGCCAATGAACGTCCTTTTGCAGCAAGGTGTACTCCTGCTCGATACCATACCTGTGCATTTCACAAGAATACAAGATTATAACTTCATGAAGAATATCAAAACAAGAATGAGCCAAGCACCATTGCAAATAATTTTACCAAGGCACTTCAGCAGCTACATCTGGATGGCTGAATATCTTTGCAGCATCGTGTCTCTTGTTGGTTGGGATTGGTTCTCCTTGAGAGGTATATGCGTCGCACATGACCTGTTGCCAGAACCAGAATGTAAATTGTTGTACATACCATATATAGCTTAATTACAAACAAATTTACACTAGTAAAGAAAGTAAAAAATGTTTTAACATGATAGAAAAAAAAAGGGAAAACTAACAAGAATATTGTTGCCCCTCCTGAATGGATCTTTGAAGATAGCTTGTGGGCTAATTCAAAAACAGAACAAAGTTAAAAATGAATAATCAACTGAGACCAATGCAAACCTGATTATCAGGCGGGCTACAATCAAATAAATCCATTATTAAAACAGCTACCTCACAGATAAATTTACACGGAAAAAAAAAAGTTCCAAACAAAAAAATACTCCGTATTTCCAAATATTATTTCACTACAAGGAATCATCTTCCTGTCCCTATCTTCTCCTAAAATGTTAGGATATGAAAGCGATATTGAGCTCGAAAACATTCCTTTGAACCAAGACAACAAGCCAACAATAAACTCATGGACCATTAAACTATAATAACATGATTGTTTGGGCAATATTTGAATTCGAGTAGGGCCAAAGTTCGCAACAGTGACCTATCAAGCATTGAATTATGAATATGATTGACGATTACACATAGTTTAATGAACATTCAGACAGATTTGAGTTATATTGCTGTCTTCTCTACTTAAATGGAGTACATTATTTTTGTGTCAATAGGTATGGGTTACAGGTACTAGTGAATAGTGATGCATATGGTTGAGGGAAGTCAGGCTCCAGTTCAAAACTAAAAGGAGCAAGAATCATTCATATCATATGCTGTACTTCGTATATAATGCATGTCATCATCTCAAAGCTCTCTCAATATAACTACCTAGTTATTTTTCTTTTTTAATTATTTAGTTTTTTGTACATACAAGATTTGTGATTCACTAAACAAACACTTTTCTAGTTTAACATATTGAATGCACAACCAAATAAATGGTACCAACAATTAGCTTTGACTAGCTTTTGTTTGTAGTATATAGATTAGAAAAAAACAATCACGTGATATCTGGTTAGATTTGTAACTATTTATAACATTTAGTTATCAATCAGTTATGCATTAACACGGCTACAGATATGCATTACCAAACATGATAAAATAAAGGAAAATTTACGAGGAAGGTCTTTTTAAGTAGACCTTTTTGTCACAAAGGCTCTTTTATAAAAAAGGTGGCACAAAAGGTCTTTATATCATGTTTAGATTATGAGGAGAGTCCTTTGACCATTTTCCGGTGTTGACATTTTATTTCCCGGCCAAAAATAGTGACATCTTAGTTACATTTTTTCTCTCTCCTCTTTTCCCTCGTTTTCCCTTTTTTTTCCCTATCAAACCCTAATTTCTAAAAACAATTAACACCGAGGCTATTCAAAGTAATTCAAGGCTAATCCTCCTCACAATCAGAGAAAACTGGGAAAAAAGGGAACTTAATAAGTCACGTGCTTTACAGGTGGCTTTTTTTTGGCCGGAAAATAAAAAAATAAATGGTCAAAGGACCCTCCTCACAACCCAAATATAATATAACGACTTTTTGTGTCATCTTTTTTAAAAAATGACTTTTGTCACAAAAAAATCTAATTAAAAGGACCTTCCTCACAAATTTTCCTAAAATAAAATGTCAACTAATTTGGAATTGGCTAAACATGAATTAGGAATTACATGAAAAGGGAAATGAAGTACGGAGTAAAACACAAAAGAACATACTAGAGAATGACTTCACTGTCTTCACCAGGAGCTTGACCAGTGCTAGATCCATCATAATTCCATTCTGGCAACTCTTTTGGATCAGAAACTGGTCCATTGAGTGTCTATACAAAACCATGTATAAAAATAAAATTAGAATATTTTTGCCAACTTTCCAAAATAAACATTTTTTCTAAAAAAAAATGATGGGTTTCATGTTTAATGTCCAAAATATAACAAGGTAATCCTTACTCTTGCTTTACTTCTCATGTCCATACCAGATCCACCAATCCTGAAATAAATTAACAACACATGATTTCAGAGTATTCCAAAGAACTAATTTTGACCTGCCTAAAACCCCACTAATTATTTACATATTTGTTCCCAATACTAACAGTTTGGTGAAAAAATAATGTACACAATAAAGGGTAAAATATAAACTAGTATAAAATACTTCTTGGAATTATTGTCCAAAAAAAAAAAAAAAAAAAAAAAACAAATAATAGGCCAAACAAATATATCAGTGTAAATAATTTTATGATTTTATATATTTATATATTTATTTTATGAAGGGTAAAAATCAGCAAGAACATAGGAACAAAAAACAAAAATAAGTATAGAAAGAAAAAGCTTCATATTGTTAAAAACATGGTGTGCAAATAAAGTGGAGGAAACTGACCATATGTACTCAGCAATCACCTTATCAGTGGAGTCTGAGAGGTTAAGGTTAACAAGATCTGAAAGAAGCGACATATTTTTTTTGGGATTTGGATGAAAAAATTTGGATGATTGATTGGAAAATAATAAAGAGATCTTTCTCTTTTTATGAGACTTTCAGAATATGATTTTCAGAGACGTGGAGAAGTTCTAATTTTATAGAGAAAAATTATGATTATTTATTGAATAGAATAGTGGGAGGAAGTCGTTAATACGGATTTTGAGCCGAACCAAATCGATTATGGATGGGATGGATCATTCCTTGGTTTTGTTTAGTTAGAATTAGAGGTGTCAATTTGATGATCAATGTCGGGTTGGATAGTCGGCTTTAAGGGCCTATTATGATTGATTGAATTGAGCTGAATTGAACTGTACTGAAAATAATTTGAAGAAAACATGCTCTAATTTCAAATCTAAGTCATGTTAAATTGGAATTGAAATCTGAATCATATTATTTTTTTTTCAAGTCGATTTAGGGTCAGGCCGGTCGGGTCATGTTTTGATACCTCTAGGTGGAACAATTTGATTTTTACTGATTCGATCTCTTTAATATGTTGTCACGGTCATATAGAGTGTCATAGTATCAATGTTTATAATTTTAATACTCTTTATTGATATAGTCATACGACCATAACTAGATGTGCCAAGTCGAGTACCTAGATAAGGTTCTATAAAACCAGGTTAGACTGCACCTATTTCAAAGTTTAGGTATGCTATATTATCATGTCCATACAAGTTGAAATTGTAATTGGATTTTTCTTGGGTGTTGGGTCAAATTGGTTAGAGTTGATTGGATCAATTTTTAAAACCTGCCTATGACTTTGTATATTATTCGGTAATCATATAGTGCATATTGAATTTGACTAGTTACTTTTCATTATATCAATTTCATTAATAATTATAATACAATAAAAGATACTAATGTTAAAAAACATATGTCTCAACTCGAATGAAAAATGTTAGTATGTCACTATAGGTGTCGCTCGAAGTGCGCCTACGTTAAAGCATGTTGTGAATATACTTGGCACTCATAGGAAGTGGGAATTGACATAATAAGATTAGCGACAAGGAAATAGGGAGCCGCCAACATGTTTTTAAAGAACTTGTAAACCGTTCACAAATCATAAAAGGCAACCATGAATAAGGGACAACGATAGGCAACAACGATTGACCCGTTAAGGTTACACCCCATTCATAATCCATGAGATTACTAACTCCATATGGTTCGGAACCATGAAAGGAGGATCGGGGTTGATGGTACGAAGTGAGTCATGGAGTCACATTCGCCCGTATTGGCCTCTACTCGATTCTTATTGTGAAAAGTGATTCCTGCGATCTCAAAGACATATAAACAAATATTCAATTTGCTCCAAACTAATATCAAACTATTATTAAGCTATATTGGTTGAATATTAATGCAACATATAATTTTAAAATATTTGTGATCACTTGATTAAATAATAAGATTAAAAAGGAACCTAAACCGATCGTCCAAATTATCTTATTAGTCGTGATTTTCAATTACATATTCCCTTTAACATGCAATATGGTGATTAATAAATAATAATAGAATAAACATTAATATTGGAAGCAATTCAACAATAATAGCGTTAATCAAATCAAATATAAAATTAACCTAATCATGATACTAGCAATATTAAAATTAAATAAGAATAATTAAATTAATTAATTACTCACATTTCGCGCGTTCCTTTGAATTGCTACATCATGAATAAATTGTTAGTAACTTCAATAAAAATATAAATCAAATGAAAATTAAATTAAATAAATGTAGATTTGATTTGGTCCAAACCCTCAGTTATTTATACCTTTCACGCCTTGGTTTAAGGACGGAACCTCGAGTTAAGTATGGACTCCTTGGAGTGCTTACGGGAAGAATGGTGTAATTAGGAATATAGGGTTAAGGCTTAGAATATGAGAGAGAGAGAAGAGAATGATTTTTGGTGTAAAAGAGAGGAAGAGAGAATGCCTTGATGCCCCAAACTGCAGAATGGAGGGTCTTATTTATAGAGGAAATGAGCAGAGGGAACACACGGAACCCTAAAAAGATAAAAAAAAACCCCTAAAAAATAATGTCGCGACACGGCAAAATGCACCGTGACACGGTACACTTTAGTGTTACGCGGGGTAATTTGGTGTGTCGCGGGACAGAAACAAACCTACAGAGGATAAAACACGTTTAGGGATTACGCGGAGAAAACACGAAGCAATCCCGTGTCACGGGAAGTGCACCGTGACACAATAAAATATGTCGTGACGTGACAATATTTCCCAAGGCGCGACACTTTTTCCCGTGACACGGTGTAGTTTTTGCGTACAGATTCTTAAGTACGTGGGAAAGAAAAGCGGAAAAGACACAGGAAAGCACCGTGACACGGTACCATGCCCCATGCCACGACATCATCTCCCGTGCCGCGCCAGGTATATTGTTTGCGTGGCAATTCCAGTTTTTTTATGCGTTTTTAAATTACGATAACTTTTGATCCGTAACTCGAAATAAGGCATATAATATATCATTGGAAAGCTTATCAAGTCTAATTTTCAACACAATTAGAATCAGGTAAAACTCTTATATGGCCGTTTTGGTGGAAGGGTGTCAGTTTTGGGCCGAGTTTAGTGTTTTGCTCATATCTTTTTCGTTATAACTCGGAATTGGGCTTATGATATATGGTTGGAAAGCTTATTTCAAGGCCTATACAACCAAATAATAATTGGATCAAAATTATAAGACCAAAATATCAGTTTCTCTCGGTTCTGCGATGTGGACACGAAAAGTGGATAACAAGTAATGGTTTAGAGAAATGAACTAGGAAATGGATTGGTTTATGAAATGTATAGGATAGAACATGGATTTAAGCACTCCAAAGATTAAATACTCAACCCTGCCAGTAATGGCGATGAAAGGTTGTTCATTATCGGGTTTGGTTTTGGGGAGACATTTTTAGGTGTCTACAGTCACTTAAAATAGAAACTATTTATTAGCCCGGGCGATGCCTCAATATATCGTAAAATTATAAGTTTTATAAAGATAAATAAAAAGTTAATGTTGAAAAATTTATATTATCTTTCATTAATAATAATAATAATAATAATAATAATAATAATAATAATAATAATGAAAGATAATATATAATATGTAAAATTATAAGTTTTATAAAGATTAATAAAAAGAGTAATGTTGAAAATTTTATATTATCTTTTATTAATATTAATATTTTTATTATATATATATAATAGTAATATTAATAATAATGAATGATAATATATAATATGTCAAAAGTTATACTAATGAAAAGTTTTAAAATTAATTATACGTTACTACAATTCAATTATTCAATGCTGTGAAAGAAGGGTGTTACACATAATATAGGATGAAACATGACGCACACGTGGCACCAAATAATAAATAGGGGTGACACATGGCATTAACATCTTAATCCCACATGAATTTTAATAATAACTAGTGTGTAGCCCGAGCGTTGAACCGGTTGCTACATTAATTATACATTGTGATTATCAATTATATACATTTATTTTCATGTGTTATAACATAGCTTATGATTGGCTTAGATGGTTAAGTAACTATCTTTCTTATAAAAGGTTGGCTGTTCGAATCCCCTTATTATCGATTTCTTTATATGAAGCAATATTCTCGTTGATTAATTAAGTAGTGATGATGTAGCTTAATCAGAAATGGAGTAGGTGACGTGGCGTGGTCTACGTGGCACAGAGGCATTCTTAGTATTAGTATTGATATAGATATAAATGAGGTCTTCTTTGGTTGGCGTAGCAAATAAATTCCCATGATAATTCTAGTTCATGCATGGTAAATCAATTCCTCTATAATTTTTTCTACAAATTAAACAAATGTATTTGGTTATCATGCTAGAATTTGTAAATCCTAAAAATCTTGAATGACCAAGGATAGGGTGGTAAATAAATTTTCATGTTTTAATTTGTGAGAAGTTAAACTTCCCATAAATTGTGACTTCCTCCATTTTTATTTTTTAATTCCAACCAAACAACATGAGGAAAAGAAAATTCATAGAAATTTTGAGTGTGTGTGAAAAATAAAGGCTACCAAACAACACCTGAATATCTAATAATAGAGAAATTAGGGCAAAATACAAATACTTAATTGTAAACCTCATATAAGTTGTGACGTGTTTTACGGTTGCCCTAGAAGCGTATTTCACCACCACCGGTACAAGTCTCTTAGTGATGAATGTTCTCCAAGGGTAACACAGCTACCTTCCAATTCCTTACCCCAATTAGAAGATTGAAATTATTTCAAGAACTGCTCAGATCTCTCTATGGGAATTGAATATGTGTTTAGGGTTTCACAACACTCTATATTTTTCCTATATGATATAATGAATAGGCACAATAATGGGTATTTATAGGTTATAAACACGGGGTCAAAAACTGCTGAAAATCACTACCCATACTTTGGCCCTATTCAAGCTCGCCCGCCCGGTGGGGTATGGTAGGAATTACATGGAGTATATTAGTTTGACAATGACCTTACTCCTCACCGCCCTACCTCCTCGGGCGACACCGCCCTGTAGGGCGAGAAAGGTAAAAAAATCCACGCCAAACATAGTTTATCAAAACATCAATTTGTTTGATTTGTATTACTCCCAACACATGCAGAGTATATTTAGATTGAAAAAAATGGTGTACTAGTATATTTATCTAGGAAAAATTGTTACCATTAATCCCAACTTTGCCTCGTTCACCAATATTAATCCCTACTTTCAATTATTAACTATCACTCCCAACTTTGCACCCTATTAATTTCTATTGCACCCAAATTACTTGGAAGTTGGAACTGGTTAAAAAGGTTAAAAATTTGACAAAAAATTAAAAAAAATCCCCAACAGCCCTCCCTCTTCCATCATCGCCACCTCCCCTTAGCTTCTCTCAGCCTTAACCACTAGCAGCGCAACCCAGCCACCTTACCAACACCACAAGAAGCGCAGCGCAACCCCAGGCCCACCTCGACACCGAACGCACCCCCTCCCTATCCCACGACTACCCAGAAACTTAACCCTAAACTAACTGTTCCCCACCTAAAATAACTGCTTCTCCCTAAAAACGACCACCAAAAATGGCCAAAAACGGCCGAAATCGGCCGAATTTCAGGCTGAATGGCTGATATTAACCCTAAATCGGCCGATTTCGGCC